TAACGTGCAAATGTATGTAAACTCTAAAGGGAAGTTTATAAACTAGTCTCCCTGGAGATAGCGAAAGGTGGAAAGCGAGATAAAAGGCATCGAGGTTTGCAAAGCTCTTCTTTTTAGACTTTTGTGTGCGGACCGACGAATTTCAAAGTTACCGTGTGATATATGTAAGAGCTGTGAAGATGCACTTACGTAAATGAAACTCATACTTAGGGATCTATAAAAGAACACATACCAGTTCACATAAATTTTATTCGTTGATTAAATGCTATAAGTGATGTATATAGATAGTAATAAGTAAATACCTTAAAATTTTAAATAAAATATACTCTATAGACAAGGGTAGAGTGCACTATGCGCATCATAGTGCACTTGCACTTTCGCAATGCGCGGGTCATCGGCCGGAGCCTTTGCCAATGCCAGTCCTCTGCCAATAACGGTCTATTAATTGACTGCTCACATACCTTAACCGGTATAAAACCAGATTGGATGACAACAGCTCAGTTTTCTTCAGTGACATCTTTATTTACTACATTATAGGCAACGATGAATTTCACTTGTTAATACTTCAAAGTCATTAAAAAATGACCCCTATGACCGATTTTTAAATGACAGACAATGTTTTGTAGATTGTACTCCATAATCGACTAGTAATTCCAGGTTTATTTTCACGTCTTTACGCCACAATTAGAGGACAAAATAGGAGCTTCTTAGTGAACCACAGAGTAGACATGAACGAAAACTTTCGTTTCGTTCGACCCGTATGAAAATTTACAATTGCTGAACGACACGAACGTGTGCAAATCGTAAAAATTGCACCATTTCATAATTGTGTGTGTTTAGAGTAAAAAAATCCCGTCCATCAATGGTTTTTTCCAAATACATAATAATATGTGATAAAAATGGTTCTTGTATTCTTTGGTTTCAACTTACATTTTTTCGCTTTGCAAAATGTCATCAACTAAGTGTGGCAAGGAAAGACACGGAAACATAAAAATTAACCAACCAACATTGATGTCACGGGATCTGACAAACATTGCGCCAGGTGTGTGTTTTAATCGTAATCAATGGCTCATCTTTCGCGGAAATAGTCTAAGCCCTAAAATATTGCAAATGGACAACTCAAACTACGCGACGATGTATCGGTAAGATAGGGAGGTGTGAAACATATGTATGTATCTCGCATGCGGAAGGTTTGGCGCGCTGCCCGGAGAGCCGTTCGTGGCATTGGGCCAGCCCAGGGTCACGAGCGGACGATGCCCCCTCCGTCACTCATTCACTCAACATCCACATGCCAGACACTAACAGCTTTGAAAACCATACTTCAGCATTGACGAGCGATTCGTGTTTTCCTGCTTGAAGAACGCACGCCTTCATAATTGTGGGCTATCTTACGTGCATTTCAAGAAAAGCTTTGCACGCATGTTTTAGTGCGTTCCTTCTTGTATTTTACACATCTCGGTACAACAGCATTTTATCACACAGTTACAAGGTTAATAATTTCTTGTAAGGTCATTACACAGGAAACGAAAAAGAAACAATCATAAATTAACTCAACAAACATAGGAATATTTACAATTAAGTGAGTCCAAATTTATTTTTAGTTATCTACTTACACTGCCATATAATTGGCATTAATGCACTTTGTCTTGAAAAGTCAGCTCTATCGCTCATCGCCATAATCGAACTTCCGAGCAATTTTGTGCCCCGATGTTACATTGCGAGCAGACGACTAATAATAGATTTTATCGGTTACTTTAATGCTCTTTCCATGACCTATCTAACCAACAAATTGTTTACATATTTAACGATAGTGCCTTCTTCTAGATGGAAGTCTTGTAACACTTTCATATGATCTAGATATCGATGAACTCCCTCTCAAACAACCACTGAGACCCTAATGTAAAGAAAGAAATTAATTTTCTTTTAGATTATAAATATTTTTTGTGCACACTTAGATAATGAAAGATGTTATTTATCATTAACTCTGCGAGTTGTCTTTTATAGATAAAATAGTGAGGGCTTATATCTAAAGTCTGTGAAAAGAAAAAATATTTAGAAAGTGCAGGTAAAAAAAAAACAAAACAAATACCGTCGTAAAGTATAAGCGCAGCAGGTAGAGGCTTATAGTTTGTGTGTTAAAATGCTTTGTAAGTAAATGAAGGAATAATATTCGCTGGCTGTAAATGGTATTTTACGACAAAGGTTCGTAGGGTGCAGTGCGGCCAATGGCGGGCATCGGTCGGCTACATTAGCGGCCAAACACGTGTCCAAGAAATGTTTATTTAGGCGAACTCGTAAAACGCGCTGACAGGATGTGCTTTGAACCCTCAAGGTTGTGCGTGTTATTTTAAATGTATTATATTCATATTTTTGCCAAAACGATGTCGTAGGTACCTTGAGCGAAGTAGCGCCGCCCAAATCAATAAACATGTTGCGGAAACTCAGCATGTGGTTATATCAATTGCTCTGTTTTAATTTCTAATTAGTCTAATTTTAAGACTGACTCATATTTATATAATGGTACAAAATATTCTAATTATGTCTGGACGACCTCATTATGGAAGACATTGTCCGTTGGTTTTAATATCCATATTTGTATTCCGTCCCTGCATAGGGAGCTCCAAATTAGTTGGAACCGGCGGAGGAGCGAGCTCTGGTTGTCATATGCGTTTATTTACGCGACGCCCCGTGGCGTTGGCGCTGGCCGGCTTCCAGCACAACTAAAATAGCAACTTTGTCGATGTCATTGTACTAGAGCTAACGACGCCCTAAGGCGCACCACCACCTACTGAACCTTTTTCACTAATAAAACTTAGCTGTTTTGTTGTCTGAACTTCAGCTCTACCACTTGTATCGCGATGATGGAACCGCCATTAAGTTCTCTCAACCTCTGCCATAAATCTTAGTAGGTATATGCTAGGTATAATACTAGACTACACCGGCGTCCATGGTCGTTACTAAACAAAGATTTTTGTCCGATATCTTGTTTAATTGATCTAGAACCAAAGTTTTCAAAAGCTATTGCAGTTTTTGCAAGTCACGTAACACATACCTTTATGTTTAATTAATTTGGTTTTTATTAAGTATGACGAAGCACAAAAAAAAAACAAAAAAAAATTAACTTCGATATTTACAGAATTAAATTTACGAAACACAAAGCAGATTAATGAAATCGCATCGGCAAACGTAAATTTTTATTAATAGAACTGACACGACAAGAAACACGCGCTCCATTCCCCTATGCCGTTTAATAAAAAGTTGACGCAGTCGGTCTAGGCCAGGCGAGCACGCGGAACAAACTTCTTCTTTCTGTTTAAAGCGGAGGCACTTTAAACACCAAGTGAGCCTTTATCTATCTCGAGGTGAGACGCTGCACCAAATTGTAAGGTGGAAAAATGGCCGCCAACCTAACAAAAACTGGGATGATTCGGTCGCCCAGGCCAATCCTTTTATTTTGTTTGGCCGTTCTCTTTTTACTTTTATTCTAAAAATATCGCATTCACGAACCAATTTCGAAAGGAAACGTGGTTCTGTCGAAGGTCAAGTGAATTAGTATTCGTATGGAGCGTTCGCTGTTTGACCGGACGCAAAAACTCGTTAATATGCTCCTTGTCAACTTTTTTTAAAATCTTGATTAGAATTGCCGCCGGTCGGTTCGTCTCCGGCTGATACAAATTACGCAATTTAATGGGTTTAAAGGTTTTGTTTCACATTTATTGTCTTGGTATTCGGAGAATATTTCTGATAGAAGCGATAATTTTTTGACGATCCGTTCCGATTAGTCAGTGAATGTATTTATTTGGTAACTGAAGGTGTACTAAACGTGCTTTAAGGACAGGCCGCTGAAGAAAATAGCCATTACACATTAATTGTTTTGTTATTACAATAAAAGACTTCAGAGAATACCCCATAAAATAAAAATTTTAGGTAAACTTTCTCAATAGAAAAGCCAGCAACATTTATTAGCTAGTTATTGAAGCAGGCAGGTACATACATACGTTCAGTATTATTTTAAATTGTACTGGTTAAGAAATAAACTTGTTTGACCTGATCTAAGATACCAAAGTGAATTAATTATATTGAAAGTACTACACAGTCCCGTATACAGATACAAAAATTCGATTCCGGTACTGGAAAATACGACCTCTGATATAATGCCCAGATTAATTAAGCACTATAAGCCTCAGTGGTCACTGGATCATTTAAAGAACATTTGACTCACTTAAATCTAATTCTACAATCACAGAGTTAATTGCAGATGCACTACAAACAAAGTGTGTACACAGCTGCGGTAGCTATTGTACACCCTAAGGAAACTCAGGTTTTAAGTTATTTTACTGATGCAAATAAAAACAGGGTTCCGGGATTTCAAGGGTTACAAGGGAAGTCTGAGTCATGCACCCCGCAAAGAAGCCCTATGAATGCACAAATGAATCACTAAATTTACTCTAGTTAATTTGCCAGAAACTCCACAATGACTAAACTGGTAAGTACAACATTTAGTAGTTCGACGTTTCCCGTTCAAAAGCAGTTTCATTTTAAGTGTAAGTGCGAATATATAATGTAATCGGTAACCCGAAAGCTACCAATAATAAATAAACATAATACAAAAACGTACAACTACTTAATTATTAAAAAATATTAGGTCGTCTCAGATTGCACGACTGATGTCTATCGGCAACGAATGGATTATTTATTACATTGGACCCCAAATAAATTTACCCCGACGCTACTGCAATATTTTTTCTTACAAAAAAATACATATTATGTATAATATTTTCAAGCGTAATAGATGGAGAAGCAAAACGCTCTTTACTAAGAGGTATGATAGTTAGCGAGTCTGTGTATTGTTATTGTTATTGTCAAGCGGTGTGATGTAGAAGAAAGCCGGCTTGGAGCCATAACCTCAAAGCTTGGGCTATAGTCATAGCGTATAGGAGCGCGCAGCCGCTCAATGTTGTGGCGCATGCGTCCTTGGGCCCGATCCTCCGTCGTCGGGCCACAACGCTACACAAAGCACCACGGTCAGCGACGTCTCCACGTCTGTAAGTCGCACCGCCAACTTCGACTTGCCACCAAGTCAAAATACGAGCATGTGATATAATAACGCGCCACAATACGTAGTGTTTGTTTAAGTGAATTTAGAGGTTACCAAAATGTACAAGACAGTGCGACACGGAGAAAACAGCCTCCAGTACACCATTCTTCCGCAAACAGAGGAAGTGCTCAACAACAGTGGACTGAAAGGCAAAGGGCGAGACTATAGCCCGTCTATACACGTACGGCGATCTCGCAGAAGATCCACCGTTAAATATGTTTTATTGGTATTATTTGGTATAATAGTGGCGCTTGCTTTAGCAGCGGTGCCACTCTACGTTATGAACGGACCTCTATACACACGAAAAAACCATCAAGATAGCCACGAAATCATCACTAATTCGCCTTTAACTCCGACGGGACGGGAGATGTTGAAGTCTCGCAAGAAGGAGCTTAAAATCACTATTGACAATTTATTAACTACGGAAGCAAAAACGGACACAAGATCGACGACGACATCTAGTACTACTACAACCACAACAGCGACGAGCGTCACCAGTGACAGACCGACTACGCCGCCATGGACTATGCCGGCACTGAGATCGTGGAAGAGCTCCACATCTTCCACGACCAAACAGCCGGTTCCAACCGAGGACAACGAGAAAATACCTCTGATCGGCACACCATCCGGTAGCATACGATTGTTAGACCACTACATGTCCGCAAAACCATGGGAAGACATTATAATAAGGCCAACAGTGAAGCAAGAACCCATAACAATTCGGAATGCTTTCCGGCAGTATTCACGAATTCCATACTTACGACCACAAATTCCACAACAATTAAACAAGAAAGTGTTTGAAGATGTACTAATTACTACTAAGGCTACGACTACATCGCGATCTGTTACCACTGAACTTTCTATTACGGAGAACTCGAAATTAAAGAATTTGAAGGATACTCTGTTGTCCGTTGATGATGATGATGAATTCAAGGAATCTCTAGAAGTAGACGAAGTGTTTTCGTTGCCTCCTTTGAAACCAGACTTAGCAGCGCCTAGTGATTCTGATGAAGTGACAGTGTTGAAGGCAGGCGACGGTGCCTGGTACGGAGCACGGTGGCCGTTCGTCGATACATCTTCTTACTTCCAATGGACGGTGAGTACAATGGATACAACACGTTAAATAACTTTTGCAACATCTATGTAACATTTAATTCATAGCGTTTGTAAATTGCGTGACTGCTGCGGACGTCGTAATATCGACTAACAACATATAAATTATGAAAACTGATAGGAAAATAAATCTTTGATTACGAAAACTGTTACCAATAGAGGCTTACATAATATAAGACTTCTTTTATGGTAACTGTACTAGGAACGAGTAACGACGCGACGCAACCTGTACTTCAGCGTGGTTGTTAAAGCCACTAGGTATCAACTGCGATTGTTTTATATCTGTAAAACCTAAAGGAGATAATTTACTATCCACTATTATTACTTTATGTGTGCTCTATTTATATTATTACTCATGTAAAATCTTATAACACAAACAAATTTTAAGGACAATATGATTTTTGAAGTAGGTATTATCAAAAGAGTTCCTATTTGACTACTGGATATTAAAACAAGAAAAACCTGGTAAGTTTTCATCGGATAAACTGAACAAAATGTTACTTTTATTAAGCAAAATCGACGACTACCTACGATTTTGAAAAGTAAATATTTACAAAGGACCGAGTTATGTAGCACCACTAAACCCACCTAATAATACAAGGAAGAGTTACAATGACACAAATTAAATTTCGGCAAATATACTATTACTAAGTCCAACTACTTAAGCAACTAGAAACGTGTACATAGTACATAGATAATTTAAAGTGGAATTGAGTGCGTGTAGTTCAATACTGGCCACCGTTGCGCGTCGTAGGAGAGGCCGTAACCAGCAGAACCAGATTACTGTGGGCTAATAATGATGACAAAAATATATATTTGCGACTCTAATATAATAGCCACTTAATAAAATTATTATTAATCATACTCAACATTGCCTTGCAAAAATATTATTTTAATTCTACCTGCAAAGTAAATAAGTGAAAATAATGCGGAAAGTGTTTTAAGTCTCATTTTTGTGGAAATTAATAATTTCATTGTTTGAAACAAAAAAATTATAAGTTGCTGAAATAAGCGAGCTGAAATAAAAGATTTATAGCTGAAATAATAGACTTATACGCGAGTGATTGACAAAATGTATTCTTCTTTAACTCTGAGAAACTACATGACACCGATTAAGTTTAACACGAACAAAATCAAGTCTTACTTTATATACCTATCGACATAATTATCTACATACATCCTACGGTTGGGTACACAGTCTGTGGTTGGGTATGAATCTCCTCAAAGAGTTCAGGTCCATGGTCCTGGCTGAAAGTTTAGATGATTTATGGAGCAGTAACTAACGGAATAAGATTTTGGCATACAGCTATTTAATTTATAGCCTGGATTAACGCAACGCGGCCTAATCTTAATTTTGTACGCAGGGCTACTCTCCGGGCGACAACCTACTGTTGCCATTGTTGGTGGCAGCCTTATCGTCCATCGGATTGGTGTTACTGTTAGCGCTAGCAGTGCGACGGCGCAAAAGGTCGCACGTCGCCTCAGCACAAATTGGGGTAAGCTTCTTGTATAAAGCTTATATGTAGTATGATGTATGTTTTCCAATGTTTTTCACACGCAAAATAAGTGCTACGACGTCGCGTTGCGGAAGCCAGCCCGTTACAATACAGTATAGGTACTATATAATATTTTACCGATACTTTTGTAGCAGTAGAGCTCCTTACGAAAGAGTTCGTCCAAGGAAGTACTACCACCTTATCTATTTCTGCCGCAAAACGGTAATGTAAACATTACTGTGTTCCGCTTTTAAAGGGCAAGGGTGCTAGTGAAATTACAGGCACATATGACTTGTCTACTATCTCGTGGTGACGGACGCAGTGGCAGTGCCCCTCAAATTTTTCGAGTTAAAGCTCCGAGTGGCACTCCAACTACTGCACTGCACGATTCGCTGGTCCCTTAACTTGGTACCATGAAAAAGTCTGTGGATTGGCGCGATTCTAAACAGGACAAACAGAAATTTTCAAATTTGAATATAATAATTTGCTTTTCATTAAAAATATATTTATTTTTAATAAAAAAATTATATAAAACTGGCTCTATAGGTATGTGTGTAACAAATAAATAATACTTGTAATAGCCAGTTTAAACCACAACTTTAGTAATAAGTGTTAAAAATTAGTCTTGTAAACTTGATTGTTGTTAACTATATAAATTGTTGATATAAAATACGGTCATAAAATTGTATTGCACCGTTTCGAAGCACAATGTGTAATTTATATGTAATACACCAACACACTTACATGCCCTTTCTTCCAGAAGTTGACAGCCGATCTGCAAGCCGACGATAATACGAACTTGCTGACTGCAGAGAATCCTGACGATGCAGACGAGTAAGCAAGAACAGCCCCACGGCTTTTGCTCCCACACTTCTAATGCAAATGTCTCTTGTAAGCTGAATAAAGAAGCTTGCACTATCATGAAAGAATGTACCCTAATTTGTTTGTACAAGCTCCGTACCACCGTGTCGTTTTAAGATCTTCTACATTATGCTGATTAAAGTTTTTGAATAAATAATGTTTAGAGTACTTAGATCACTTCCCTAAAAAGCTTTTATAACCTACAAGGGTTTGAAGAAAAAAAACCCTAACAAAACCGCGAGTGATGTGCATTCGTGGCACCTTGTAATAATTTATTCGCCGTATGATAAGTCGGACACTGCGCACAAGGGCTGCTTGTATTCGCCTTCTAATCTAACCAATCATACTTCACATTTCAGTGCCTATTCTTTGTATTATATCAAGTATGATTTAACATGCCGCACTCTGTACGCGCGCCTAGGAATTCTCAGTTCAGAGATACGATATTAGTATATTTTGTAACCACACTTAGATATTCGACTATAATTAGGTAACACACATGTCGAATGCCAAATACGCTAAAATATTTTTGTTATCATATATATATATATATATTCGTATTAAACGTCCTTGCAATCGAAATGATATTAGAATAGAATAATCATGAGCTTGCTAGTTAAAACAAAGAATATACAAGCGTATATTCCGTTCATTACAATAGTTTCAAAATGTGATTGGCCTCTTTATGTCACGTATGGCAGCTTCCCACGATGCGTAGTATTATCGATCGTCTCGCACGAGCTAGCGCCCGCGCACTAAGGCAAGAGGACTGTCCGTGGTAACACCGACACGCCAAAATGGGCCGTGCGAGGATCTGTAATTTCCCGGGCCGTTTATGGCCGTCTTTAGAAATGTTGAGTTATATTATAAACCTATAAAAATTAACCTAGTGTATTTTTGCTATTTGTATTTTATATTCCTTGACCACATTTATGTAAAATTCCCCTTTAAAGTAGCATTCCATGCTATATCATATCTCTGAAAGTTCAATGTAGACTCGTCAGTATTATAAAAAAACCTGTGGTATAAAAATCTACTTAAGCGTATTTATTTTTGTGTAGTCTAAACGTTAGGTTAGGATAAATATCAAATCTTGATGTATTTCAATGTCACATTTATCTTAATACAATTCAATTATACATTTTATACTTTATGTTGTAATGTTCTGTGTTAACTAGTCATTGTCTTTATTTGTGTATAGATATAAGACTGATATAGGATTGTTTAAATTATTTTATGATTCCATTTGGTAGTATTTGAATAGTCTTATAATATTTTCTTTTTAATATAACGGCACTAGTCACTTAATATAAAGCCCGAGAATTATTTTTGCGTGCCCATATTTCGATGTTAATCATTATGATATATATGTACTTAATATAAAATCAATGTACAGCTAATATGTCGTAGTCATATAACAATGTTTTGCTTAATTAAGCATTACATTACATACAGTATATAAGTCGTACCATATAGTTAGAGAGTGCATCGTGGTGAACTCTAAGGTAATGAATACCAAGGCGGGCCGTTTAATGTAGTAGCTTAAGGATAGGCATCTTTAAAATATAATGTTGCCGAAGCAAAAACTGGAGCTTTTAATGTGGTGCTAAAAGGAATTTCAGTAGCAGTAGAGCTCCTTGTGAAAGAGTTCCTCTCGGGAAGAAGAAGGAAGAAGGAACTGCCACCTTACCTATTTCTGCCGCCAAGCAGTAATGTGAGCATTACTGCGTTCCGGTTTTGAAGGGTAAGGGGCTGGGGAAATTACAGGCACATGGGACTTTTCAACTTACGTCTCAGGGTGATGGGTGCAGAGGTAATGCACCTCAGATCTTTGCGATTTAAAGCTCCGAGTGGCACTGCAACTGTTATGGACAGGCGTGTCGTTTAACATCAGACGCACGACCTGTTTGTCCCATCACTTATTATCATTAAAAAAATACTCCAGTCGAATGCAAAAACCATATCACACTTAGAGGGAATGTTTTTGCATTAATTCATAACGAGATCCCTACGGTGCGAACTCTAACTAGGTAATAAACGTTAAGTGAAGTTTGTTAACGTTTTTTTTTTGTTATAATGACGTAATCGCAAAATTTACAGAACTCCAATATAGGCTTTATTGGAAGATATGCCGCACCGTATAATAGGTTTAAGTTGAGCCAAAGAAACAAAATTAATTTAATAAAAATTTTGCCATTTTATGTCGATTGGGAACCCTCTACCTTCATAGTTTAAGAGCCAAATGACGAAAGATGGCATTACGTATTTAAACCAAACAAACTACAGTGCTTTTTATACATAACGACACTATATTTAAAAATTCACTTGGCGTTTATGGATTGACTGTTTTAATTATAATTGGGGTGAAAGGGATAGCGTTAATTTAAATTCAAATGTGATACCTCAGTAGTATCGTGTACTGCTGTTTTCCCCATCCCTTTATTAACATGGCGACATAAATAATAATGCAACTTAACCAATAGAAATACAGGTACGGTGTAAGCAGTATATGAATATAAACACGAAGAAATTATTCTAATAAATAAATAAATATCAACAGATTCTAGCAACGGAGAAGAGTGAATGTAAAAGGGGGATTTAAGGGATCATTACTTCATCTGAAGCCATCGCTTGTCAGCAAGATCGCCTCGAAGATCATCTGCTGGATATGCTTAAGTTAGCGTGATAAATTAATACATTTCCACGTTTAATTAGTATGTTACATAGATGCTTTTTATCTGAAAGCTGGATCTTCACTTGTGCAGACAATGCTAAGATTACAAACACGATACAGAAAAGTGTCGCCTTGTTAATTAAATGTACCATTTACATACATACCATCACCATTTAAATATACGCATATGAATGAATAACACCATATTATAATTAGTTCATTAACAATATGTGCTAGCAACATTTTATATCAAATAAAGATTCGCACACTGTATCTCATACAAACTACAGGTATTAAGTTTGTTACAATTTTGGCTTTTGTGTCGATATAGTCAAGATACATTAAGCAATGTGTTTTATTGTTTGCTGTATACACACCATGTATATAAGGTATTGAAATAAATTATGTTTTCCCACCTAGTCAATGCAGTTTTAATAGCTCCATTGACAACGATTATTATAGTATTAAATCCTAAATCGAGTTACGTCTTTTATCCTTGTACCTGTCAAATATAATAACATCGCCAACGATTTTTTTTAGTGTTAAGAATGCAAATAAAAATCAAGTTCCAGAAAGATACCTATTTATATTTCATACACTTAAACTACTTAATTAAAATGAAACAAATATGTTAAAATTATCAGTACAATAAAAAGATAACTTTGAGAGTTGCTCAGTAAAATAAACATCTTTTATTTCACATATACAAATAAATAAATAGGATGCTCGAAAGAACAATAAATCCTTTTTAAGGTCAAACTGCATAAATACATTTTTATTAGTATAGAAAAAATAACGTTTACTAAATTGATTTGAAATTAACAAATCAGTAACTTGTTAACATACTAAAATTGAGACAAATAATAATCTCTAATTGTATTCTCACGTGAGAATCATTCCAAAATAAAATACTGGTCCTTTTACACATAAACATTGCTACATTTATACAACTAAATACAAAACAAAAGTTCACAAGAACATGTCAAAATTGAAATTAAAATATTTTACTTATTGCTTTCTCACGCATTTCACGAAACTTAAAAGAATTTAAATACCACTTACGCGATTTCTTTTTACTTTCTAGCCCGTCGGACTAATTACATATAAGTAAATAAATGTTTCTTTACAATAGAACTACCACACCGGTATTTAAATCGTGTAAGCTACGTGATCCGCGGTTTTTACTAACTATTTAAAAAACTTTATTTACATATTATTTACAAATATTTTGCAAAAACAAATATGTAATCTATTTCAAACCAATTATTTGGCCTTGTGAGGTAACAATAAACAAAAGGCACTCTGTTTCTTGTTTTCTTTAGTATTTTGCTGGCGCTATATTGCTTTATATTTATTTAAAAGGCACAATTATTTGTATTGTTATGTTTTCCAACAAGTTTTTTCGTAGTAGGAAATATAAGAGGGAGAAACAGTTACAAATAATTTTGAAGTCATACCTGATAGATAAAGATTAGTAGTGATGTAGATTAGAAACGAAACACTTCATCTCACTGAACTTATGGAAGTGCTATTATAGAACCAATTATACAACCAATTTCAAAACATTACTTTTCCCCGTCTCTACTAATCCTTTGAAAATAGTCGAAGATTATATAGATTCTTATAGTGATGGTACAAGGCCAAACAAAAAAGAATACCCTCTGATACCATTGATACAATTGAAATTTAAAAAGATACATAGTGGGCAAGATGACTAACCGGTTTGGTAGAAGAAACGCCATAGTCCTTACTTCTTCATAATTAGTACTTAGTCCTTACTTCTTAATAAATAAAGCCATAATTATTACGTAGCTGCAGAAACGTTTGCAATAAAGTTGCCTTAACTTCTAGAGTGGAGCAGTGGTAAATTTCATAAGCACCGGTCTGATGCGAAAATCATGCTACATTCTCGTCTCTTATTAGTACCACGATAAAATGATACGAGCTTATTTCGCTGTTTGTGAGAGTGAAATCTCTTCATTCAGTGACTGTAGGGCGACAGGAAGACGAAGAAACGGAGCTCTTGCAAACCATTCTTATTTTCATCTTTAATTAATAGTTATTCAAGGTTTTATTAAAGTGCTACAAAAAACGGTCCTTTGACATTGGAAATATTTACTACAGCTACCGCTCCAGAGTATGATTTGTTAAGTTACCTTATTCCTGCAGCTAGAGCAAGGCTTATGAGGGCGGTGGGTGCGGTGGGTGCGGAGGCTGTGCGGGGCGAAGTATCCTCGCCAGCACGTGTCTTCCTCCGAGCAGTTTCAACTGTTGTCCTTCCATTAAAACGCTCCGGACTGTCGACGTTGGAACAGTCGCTGTCGACACCGCCTGTGCGAATTATTATGTTATAGGACACAAATCTCAACGTCAGTTCCGGGTTTTGGGTATAATAGAACCTGTCCAATCAACTGAATAAATAGAAATAAATAATAATATAGCCTTGAGAATTTTATTGGAATTATTATTTTTTGTGTTACTTTTACTTATTATTTAGATATTTGTTATTACTTTTAAATTTTAAAAAAGGTTCGAGACAGTAAGGGCAAATGGGACTGTAGTACTGTTTATTATCGCTTCAGTGCGTTAAAACGAAACGTCATTTTTATCAAAGTAAATCAACAAAATGTTCATTTCACACCACTAAATACATATCGTTAGTCTGCAAAACCTTGAAAATTATTTGTGTATGTATAGCAAATCCAAATCCAATGCAGTAAATTAAAGCAGCACGTATGTTATTGATGTCGTTCATTTAAGTAGCGTGTTAGATGTAAGAATATTGTAGCAATGTAATGATTTTTGATCACACCGTGCTTCCCGCCCCCTAACCTTCTAACTTGAATGAGTCTAAAATTCAAAAAGAAATGTCTGAATAATATTTATTAACATTCCATTATGAACTTCCAACTTGCTTTCAAGCACGATGGTTAGACCCCAGTTTGGCTGACATGTCAACAGAGAATGTGGTTTTGCGATTTCAGGTTGCGTTGCGTAAAGTTTTAAATCTCTAGGTAGAGATTTAAAACTTTCCCCAAATTTGAAAATATTTAAATATACAAATACAAACCATGTAGGTAGGCGTTGTAGTGTAGTTGTGTGTGGATAGTGGTCTTTATGTAATACTATAGAGTATTTCATGATTTTGTGGAATAATATTTAGTTTGCTGGAATTCGTAGAACAGGAATAATAAGTGTGTTAGCTCTTTTTTCGAACATGCCCGGCAGTAGAAGAATATTCTCAATATTCAGCGGCACTGAGAAACAGACTGCCATCCTGCTGAGCTACAGACTTTTCTATCTCCCGTTGTTAGTTTATTTCCCATCTGTTAATAAACTTATCTGTAAAGTAGCTTATATTTAATTATTAGTGTGTTGAAATAAATAAACGATATTGAGCTATGTTCCCTCTTAGGGCGCGTTCCCATTATGTCTAGACGACAGATAGTCGTGCAGTTTAAAGTGTAGT